TGTGTGTGTGTGTGTGTGTGTGTGTGTGTGTGTGTTTGTGTGTGTGTGTGTGTGTGTGTGTGTGTGTGTGTTTAATATCTGTCCCACTTTCAAACCATCCACCCCATTAGATTGGTTTGGGAAGAAAAGCACATGATCACCATTCAGGCACATGCATAATTTTAAAAATTAAAAAAAAATTCTAAAAATAACTCTAGCTAATTCCGCTAGGTAAATTGGGTGATGAATGTGAGGTCTTCGAGGAGCCTATAGATCTCTCAGCTGGCAGTAATACAATTTTCATGAAAATGTGAATTAATTATACCTGTAGTTAATGGAATTTTAGAGGAGCTTTCGGAGCAACCAGGTGTCATGTGATGGGATGGTGGGATGAAGCCGTGGTTTGATGGATGAAGTAGAACTTTGCCCTGCGAAACCTGCCGTCCCACATTTGTGTTTGCTTTGACTGGACCGTCGCGCATCTGTCTGCTCAACGTCTTAGTTCCTCCTGGCTAACCTGCACCAGATGGCGTTTGAGCCTTAGACACACAAGAGCAGTTGTGGTTTTAATGATTAACCAATTTGTGGATTTTTGTTGTCCACTAATATGCAAGACAAGGGTGAAAGAGACAAGAAAATAGACAGAATGGAGAAAAATATTCATACAAAATGCTTTATTTTTGCAGACCAGAAAATGAAGAACCGCAAATGACAAATTGTTTCAAGAAAGACACTGAAAAAATCAACTAATGTAATCAACTTCCTACAAGCATTCAAAACAAAATAAACATTCTGTAGAAACTGTTGAAACAGCCATCAAACACCATAAGCCCATGCTAGGAAGAACACAACTGTAACAGCTTTAGGAAACAGGCAGACATGTTTGACGCTTGTTTAATTCAACACAATTAGCACGAGAAGCTTCAGTGAGTTTGCACTAGGTTTAGGCAGATTAGATTTCTGCCACTTCCTTCCATGCGGGCCAAGGGCAAGGCAGGAACTGTGCCTTCCAATGCACACACACCACACAGAGAGAGAGAGAGAGAGATAGCATTTGTCAATTTAATTAGCTCTGAAAAATTAAGCTGAGGTCCATACTTCACAGATGGACTCTGGGCAAAGTGAACAAGTTTTAACATACCAGAATTTCCCATGACAGAATTATGAAAACAGAGTTACATTTGGGTTCTAGCCAGCAAGATAAATTAATCAAATGGTTTTTTTTTTATGTAATTTCACATTTTAGGTCATTGGATGTGATATAACGAGAACTGCATTATTGTATTGGTCTACTGAGTAGGATATCTTCAGACTCTTACATAACCTGCAACATCCAATAAAAAAAAAAAAAGAGTAGAAATGGAGAATACAAAACTACAAGCAGAGGATATGCAGAGTCAGCTGGCTTGAGGACACATTTTCCTCTGGAGACGTATGGATTCCAGTTTGGACACTTTCTCACAGTGGTTGCAGCAGACTTTAAATTGGCTTGACCGTTATACAACTGCATAGTCACACTGGTGACCAATACAATAATTTGGCAACTTCAGATGTAATGATATTTTCTTTCCCAAAATGATATAATCCATCATTATTTTTGCTTCTGTGGTCAGATGAAATGCCCACAGTCAAGTCTGGCCTGTCTCCTTATAAAGAAGGGTGATACACTTTTGGAATGGCTTGTTTTCTGGAAGCCAGAAAGTGGAGTTTTTCAGCCAGGGAGTTCCCATGAGCAACTCGGGCTTTCCCTTAATCCCCTGTTTGTACTGCATTGCTTTTAACGGTGAAGTGTGTAATATTTTCTTGTTTTCTCCTATCCTAGTTTAATAAGCAGAGACAGCTATAAGTAAACCATTTGTAGGTTGGTTTCTCTGGAAAGTATACACTCCGTGATTTTGTGCGGTGCTTTCAAAACATTGTTTTGTTTGATTAAGAATCCTGACCAGCCTGACATAGCAACAGCTCAACCAATGGTGTGAGTTTAAGGCAAAACTAGCTGATTTGCTGACCAATGGCAGACAGAGAAATTCTTTAGGAAACCTGTTTGAAAACAGTCATCATTTTTGTAGAAATTCATATTTTAATGGTTGTAATACAAGAAAATATCAAACAATGCATATATAATATAGCTATATGCAGTATATTAAATAATAATTTCTATGGGAAACTAGTGCTTATATTTTTTATATACTGCAATATATGCATTGACCATGTATTGATATAGCAATGAAGAGAAAAACTGCACTACATTTTTACATGTAATGGCTTTATTAAAACACTCGATTCATTTCTCAATTCAAATATAATTATATTAATATAGTATATAATTATATTTATTTTATCACATGTACATCTATACATTATGAAGTGTATTATTGAATATAAAATTACATACATAAGTAAATATATTAGTGGCAATTCCTTATGTATTATACAATATGTTGTAATATATTAGCACAATATGCTATTCTGTATATTTTCAATATACATTAAATAATTTATTATATTGATAATTAATATATAAGGAAATATATTTTCTTTGCATAAGGAAAAGTTGTGAGGCTTATGTATGTAAAGGATTACTGTAGAAAAATGTATTGGAAATGTTCACTTTTTTTCTTCAGTTTCTTGCTGCTCTAGTTTCTTTTCACCTTTTTTCCCCTCTCTTTGTCTTTCTAAAGCAGAGTGTGGTTAATAAATCAGGAGGCGCTCATTAGTTCTGATCTGTGATCAGCTGGTGTGAGGGAGACTGTCTCTTCTCCAGCCAAGCTTTCTGATCTCAAATTGCTGGCTGATCCACAGCTCTCTTATCTTCCTGCCATGTATGTATTTTAGCACAGCCAGATCAGATCAGCACTCATATAGCAGACTTCAGAAACAACGTCATTGTATTTTTAATATCGTTAAACTCAGTTAGGACTTACAAATGCTGCACAATAGTGAACAGACAGAGTTTGCAATTAGCTCTTTCTACACTAATTGAGTTAGACTAGCAAAACCGTTATGTTAGTTCATGTTGAGTACAAAATGAATATGATATTTAATGAAAAACTGGTATTGGTGATGAGCGTATCTACAACAGGTGCACTACATGGATGTTATCCTGTGTTTTTAGCTAGTTTTAGCTCTTTGACAGCTGTGTGCAACTGACACTACTGTGAACCTTGGTTCATTTTTTGAAAATGTTGTATGGGATGACATCAGTTTCAGGTTGTTTAGCCTCTCCGAGCACTAAAGCATCTCCCTAAAAACCACAGCTTGGCACTGTTCACTGTCAGTTTGCTCAGTATATGTTCTCTGTGGAATTGTATTGCTGAATTCAGCTCAAAGATCTCCATTTGCTCCATTGTTTTCTTTTGCGCAACAAAAATGAGATATTAAATGAGATATTTTTCTGTGTATTACAGCTCTGATAGTCCTGGATTTGACCAAATCACACACATTTCTGTCCACAGTGTTTTCTCTTCCAGTAACCCCTGACCACACTCTCTCGCATCCGTCCTCTCAGACGCACTCACCGCGCGCTCACGGGAATGACATCACAATTCATGACTTCTTTATGAAGCATTCATTTTTCAGTACAGCACACGTCTGAAATGCACGCTTCCTTTCAAACGATTTATTTTTTTTCCCGGTACAGGCTCTGTGAAGTTAAATATCCTTCCTCATCCAATAAGCTCTTGTCTCCCGTTCAGGAAATTAAATCGTCACATTGACTATGCTTTATTAAATTGGGATTCATTAAAATTAATTTTTCATTCTAATATTCACCTGGGGTCTTATGAGCTCAATATGTGACACACGATAAGTCACTTTTAAGGTGATACTCCCTCTGTTCGGAGTAATATAGAAGTAATATTGTTCTCTCTCTCCTCAGGTTGATCTTGGATTCCTGCGCTTTGTCTCGGCGATCGGCACACAGGGAGCCATCTCTCAAGAGACCAACAAGAAATATTATGTGAAGTCCTACAAGGTGGATGTAAGCTCAAACGGAGAAGACTGGATAACTATTAAGGAAGGCCCAAAACAGAAGGTGGCTTATTTGCTATATTTCATGGTCTTTCTTAAAGGTGCAATGCGTCCCTTTTCTGATTTAACCCAGTGCTTTTTGACTCCAAGACCCCCCATTGTCCACAACAATATTCAAAGCCCCATGACCTCTCCACTCGCTCATGATTTACTGGATTGGATTTTTAAAAGATATTTTTACTGTCAATTTCTACCCAATAAAATATTTTAGAGCTTGGCATAACTATAAAAAATGTATTTAAAATGCCAGGATTTACATGACTTTTCCAGGTCTAGAAATTACATTTTTCATATATCACAGGTTACATGTATCCAGTGGGAACACTGAATCTATCAAAAACATTAAAAAAAATAAAACAAAAAACACTTGTTGAGGAGATCAATTATAATATTTTGTTGTTGTTGTTGTTGTTTTATGTTATGGCTTTAGATTTGGGATTTTAAATCATTTTAATTCATCTTGAGACCCTCTAATGGGCCCAGGTGCCCTGGTTGAGAACCACTGATTTAACCAATGTTGGCATGTCGTGTCTCAGAAACAAAAAGCTGTATGGAAAAACTACTATAAGCACTTTAACAAAAATACAGCTTGCACATTTCGGCTTTTAAACTCTCCAAAATCAATTGCACTAGACTTGCACTGTAAACAAAATTTTTGTTTGTTTTTTGAAACTAAGCGACTAATCAAAAGGATTTTCTGTGGTAATAGAGCAGTCGACATGGAACATAAATGTTACATTTTCATATAACAACGAAATACTGTTAGAAAGTCCTGGTAGAAGACCAAGTTTGGTTCCGTACAGCTCACTTTCCACTAAAAGATAAAGAAGACTTTTATTTTCATAATCCGTAACTAGGTACATTTCCAGAGCTTCTTGGCAGGAAGCCCATAAACATCTTCCTGTATTGTAGCGCTGTCACTGTGTGCCTCCGTTACACCAATCCATGCTCCAGATCCAGACGGGAATGCCACGCTCATGTGTTCCTCAGGGCTTGTGTTTCTCTGACTCCATTATGTGCCCATGTGGTATGTTAATCTGCCCGCTTAAAAGACTCAATTTGCAAGAACTGTAAAAACTCCAACTCCAAAGCCACCACAGTAGTCTGACTGATTTTCTTTTTTTCTCTTTAAGGAATGATGTCAACATTTGTGGTAGGGCTTTTTTTCCTTGAAAGGAAAGAACAAGAGAGTTAATAAATAGAGTGTGGCAAATGGAGAGAGTGAGAGAAGGAGGCATTCTGGGAAGGTTTACCAGGTTTAGAGTGTTTGAACAGCTGTTTGGATACACTTGAGCACGTGACTGATTAAATGAGGACTGAGGAGATGCTGATCGATTAGCCATCGGGTGAGATGGCTCTAACGTGTCCCTCAGCACAGAAAAGATAACTTTAGGAAGACATGCCTCTTACATATGACACATGGGTTATGTCTTAAAACCTAGTGAGCTATCTACCTAGACAGAATTTTGAGGATCATAGCCAAGAAGGTTCAAATAGAACAATAAAAAGCATTTGAATGAACTTCATAAAACCTGTCAAAAACATGTCCAGGTCATATTTTATGTCAAAATAGAAAAATAACAAAAAACAAAAATTAACAATATTTAAAAAAAACTTGTCTCCTCAAATTGAAATTATTACAGGAATGCAAACAAATCAACTGTAATGTGAAAAAACATGATATATTACATGATATATTTTAATATAATTATTACTTTTTTTACTTCATTAAAATATTGTCAAAATGCAAATCTGAAATTCATCTAAAATAATTTATTTTGCAAAATGCAATTTCATTTTAATTTTCACCTGATTTTTGTCAGAAATGTGAACTGGACATTGTGAGATTTACCTGATCCAAAGATTCTGTCTCTGTAGGCAGCTTCATAGATTTTGAGACACTTCCAGTGTGTGAAGTTTATGATTTTGATTTTGCTCATTTGTGAGTGCAAGACATGTGCATGCATAATGCATGTTTACGTCTTGCTCTAACAATACAAGTTTTGAAATAGACCTGTCAAGCTCAGCAAGCCAATTAGACGTGTGTGTGTGTGGGCCCAATTTCTGTGTCGACCCTCAACTAAACTACACTGTTCTCTTTTTAGAGCTTGCATTTTTAAGGTGTGGTGCCTTGTTTCTGTCTGCCTGGCTCTAAAGTGCTTTTGTGAGGTGAGGGCCCATTTACAGACTGCTGAAACAGCAGTTTGGCTGTGGGGTTGTTGCACAAAGGAAAGCCTTTTTACTACTTAGAGCAGTAGAGCAGAGCATTGGCGTGACATTTAAAGATAGTGGATGGCTCCTCCTGTGTCTCCCTCCCAGACACACACGTTTTGAAAAGTAGTGACCACGGACACGATTAGTGCCTGGATGTAACAGTGAGCTTAAATGTACCCAAAGGCCCAATTTCTGTGTCGACCCTCAACTAAACTACACTGTTCTCTTTTTAGAGCTTGCATTTTTAAGGTGCGGTGCCTTGTTTCTGTCTGCCTGGCTCTAAAGTGCTTTTGTGAGGTGAGGGCCCATTTACAGACTGCTGAAACAGCAGTTTGGCTGTGGGGTTGTTGCACAAAGGAAAGCCTTTTTACTACTTAGAGCAGTAGAGCAGAGCATTGGCGTGACATTTAAAGATAGTGGATGGCTCCTCATGTGTCTCCCTCCCAGACACACACGTTTTGACAAGTAGTGCCCAGGGACACGATTAGCAGCATGAATTCTGGGGTAGACGGATGGCTGTGTGCCCTGACTGGGCCTTAGCAACACTTGGCCATCCTGTACGGCTTACAGTTTGACCTTGTCTAGTTTAGAATTGAGTTGAACGTACTGATCTTAAAGCAGTACGCTGAGAGAGAGGCTGTGCAATACAGTGATTTTATCATTCTTACAGCATGGTAAAATAATTGTAACAGGTGGCCTAGATTGACCTGTTGCTTTTATAAAATGGTGGCAACAGCAAAATGATAAATAGGGTTTGCACAAGTGGGTTCAGTGAAGTGCTTAAGAATTTAAGTACATGAAAACTTGAAAATCAGCTTTTTTTAAGCAATTTATTTTAAATATAGAATGTGCATGTATGTGCCAAGGAACATGGGTTAATAAGGATTCATTTTTATTTTTTTAGGATTAAGGACTCATTTTATTAATTCATTTTAAAAATCTGAAACTGAAAAAGTAAAAGAGAGATCTTTCAAGATGTACTTAAACCTGTTGACCTTTGCATAGTGACCTGTGAAACAAGATACTATAAACGACAAGGTTGCCTTTGCTTCCATTTATCTTTCTTGTAACAATTTCTAGATGCTCCCTTCACAGAGAACATGTGCTAGCTGTCAGCAAGAATCAGTGCCCATGGACATAACACAGTCTGATTCATCGCTATGTCTGTTGCAACAACAACAGAAACCATTGTGTAACTGAAGCGTCAAAAACATTCAGCGCTAGTTGTAACCCAGACTTTGACATCACAAAGTGGCCTTTGTATTGCTACCCAGTTGGCTCCAGAGAAAATTTAATTCAGGCACTATTTAGGTTAAACACATCTAAACACATTCCTGTTATTTCTCTCTGTTTCTGGGGCGTCCCAGTATTAGGTGAGTCCCAGGCCTCAAAGGTCTGTCTTTGGTGAGTTGCTTAAACAAACCATGTTAATAATTAATGTGTTTGTTCTTCGTTTGTCAGATTTTCCAAGGGAACACCAACCCTTCTGATGTAGCGAAAGCCATGTTCCCAAAGCCCACATTGACGCGATACCTCCGGATCCGACCATACAACTGGGAAACCGGTATCGCTCTGCGCTTCGAGGTGTATGGATGCAAAATCTCAGGTTGGTTCCAAGAATCAGTTTTTTTATTTTACAGGCTTCAAAACGAACTGTCAACGGCAAAACTGGCATGCCTCAAAAATATATAGAAGCAGAGTGTTAATTCAGATTCAGAAGCAATGTTTTGTCAGCACACCACTCCATCATGATCTTTCAATTAAATGGTTTACGTTTTGCTTGCTTTGGAGGCAGGCGAATGGAGAAGTGTTTATTCATGCCTCTGAAAGCCATGTGCGAACTGTGCATGTGCAATATTGGAGGAGCAATTGCGTTATAGACAAGTGTTCAAGCCAACAAAAAGAACCGTGTATTCATGTTTCCCCACATTTGGATGTTCTTTATTCAAAATGAATGGCGTGCTCAGCATGCACGGATGCTGCTGCAACCTCTCCACTTCTACCCCAATTCTGCCTCTACCCTCCTCCCCCGAGCTCTAACCTCTCAGCCTCTCTCTCAAACACACACAGATGTACATATTGCACATGCTATTGCACACGGCGAGATCTACACCCACCAGCCACAGTCAGGCCCAGCTGGCCCTGTCTTCATTTGCATACTCATCTGCATGTTTTGGCATGGCTCCACCCTACAGAGCTTTGATTGCAAAGGCTTTCATATCATCAACGGCTTCCCACTGAGAACATTTCCTCATATGTGTAGGAGGAGGGCGAGCGTGTTTGCCATCATGCGCCGTCTATCAGCTTTACGTTCAACATGCATAGGGGCTTATTTTTAGAGTCTGCGTGTGTACACAGATTTAGCACTGGTTGTATATTTGTGTGTGTGTGTATGTGTGCGGTTCACCGCAGTTCTGGAGCGCAGCTGTTGCAGTCGTGTTTTGATCGGGTGAACAGACCGCATTCTAAACACATCACAAGAGCGGAGGCCTCCCAGTGACATCATCAGTGTGCATCGGGCTTGTGATGATGCGGCCAAGTTGGGCGAATGATTAGGGAAGAATCTCCCTCTAGTTTCACTTACTAACAATTGTAATGGTATTACTACTGTATGTTTTTGGACAACGTTAAGCATGTTTTGAAGATATACTTTGAAACTTTTTGCACATTTACCATGGTACTACCAAGAATATCATGGTACATGTCCAAAAACGTTGAAAGTACCCGTTGAGTAGCACATAAACACCATTATTTTAGTAGAAAGGTATAAGTCAAAATACCAAAGTATTATCAAGTGATACTATTACCATTTTACCATGGTTGCGCCACAGTACTTTTTGCAAGGGCATATGCAAAGGCTGTGTACTTGTACTTGTACCATTATGGTAACCATTCATTACCATGGTAAGTATTAAAGTGCCACGGTATTAGCATCTGATGCCGCTTCACCAAAGTACATATCACTTTACCAAGGTACTGCCACAAACTCTATTCCTGGGCACTATGTTTGTTAGCACTGTACCTTGATACTACCCACAGAGGATGCCTGCTAGCAGTTAGGAGGTGGTCTTGTGCACAGTTCAGGTCTAATAGGCTTTCCACATCCACACAGCCATTAACTTCCTCCCGCTGTTTGTAAATAAAACCATATGTGTGTGGTCATCCAACCTTTATGTGCTGTGCACAGACCAAACCAACAGACGAAACACGCAATACACATGGACCAGTCCACCCTCAGGGTGTGTCTGTCAGAGTCTACCACACCAGGAGCTTCTACCATGCATCCCCATCTGAGATCCATAAATGGATCCCGATGACAGTGCCAGCCAGTGGATTGAAAATAAACTTGGTTGACTTCCAAACTTTGAGGGCCAACCACCTCCATGCAGATCTTTTTCAATCAGGTCCCAAAACAATTTGGCATGCATATAGCAGAAATTACACGCAGAGACATTTTCCAAATTTGGCAAGGGTTCAAAAACCTCAACCCCGGCTGTACATCCACAAACAAACAATGGAAAAATCAAAGTCCCAATCATTTGTTGTTTTAGGAGGCTGGAACTCACATTTGGACTCTCTGCAATTTCTGAAGGGGTCACAGACAAGTGCTCTTTCTGTTACAAAACTACAGAGAAAGTACTAAGGCAGTGTTGTGAGTGAAAACTCTGTTCTGGTGGTATTTCACGGGACATTAGGTTCATCTGTGACTAGTCCAAGATTGTCTCTGACACTTTCCTGCTCCACAGGTGCTGATCGTAGATTATGGTATTGCTGGCAGGTCACAAATCCCACTGCGTTAGAGAAGGTACGAAAGTCGTGACAGGCAACACACAGTCATTTGGTCAGTGCTGCATGCCTTATAATTTCCCTCAAACTCAGCCTGCTTTTGCCTAAAGTAGCAAAGCATGAAAAATCCTATTATCATCGCTGGAACAAAGGAAGTCAGTTTGGAGAGATGAAGATAGATTACAAGACGAATGAAGGGATAGGTTTGAAGGAGGTGAATAAGAAAGCAGATGAAAAACAAAATGAAAGGAAGGTATAAGTGAAGCAGGACTGAGGATGAGGGCGAGAAACTGTTCAGAAATAAAAGGTAGATTCACTAGAGAAAGGTTTTAATTAGGTAGCTTGAGAAAAAGAGGCAGAGGAGTTAATGCACAAGGTCAGTGGTGAAAGGAAGATGGAGAGAGAGAAACAAAGAGAACAAGAGGTTTCTTATCTCTTCTGCCCACTTCATCTGTCTTTCCTGTGCAATGAATGTCTTTCCTTCTCTCTTTGTTCAGCCTCTTTATGGTCTGCGACCTCTTTAGGTTGTTGGTTAGAACGTTTCCCAGCTCACTGAGATGTGACCGTTTCTACCAGGTTTATCAGCCAACATCATTTGTTTCCTCTCTTCCTCTCAGACTCACCCACTCATAGCTAATCTAATCTTTCATAGACACGTCCTCAATTATCATTCAGCTCTTCCACTATGTTCTCAAACAGCTCTCTCTTTCTCTGCGTCCATGTGTTTTATTGGCATGACAAATAAAGGTACATTTGTTTTGCCACAGTAGTGGCAGGTTAGACAACAGTCTTACCGAGGGATCAGGGTTTGGCTGGTTAGCATGGCCCTGTTAGCCCCTGCCGGTGGGTGCCAAAATTACAAAATCAAAAAGTATCTTTCTCTTTTGATGGCCAGTCCAAGGTTTTTTGAGGGTTTTTAAAAATATGAAATGCACATATTTTTCTCTGTCTGCTGCTTTTCATGTGACAGCTCAGGATAGTCACTAGTGAAGGGTTTGAAACTTCCTTGAATCTAATACTCTCTTTGTCCTTCAACAGAGTACCCATGTTCTGGAATGTTGGGAATGGTCTCAGGCCTTATCGCAGACTCTCAGATCACAGTTTCATCCCAAACCGAGCGCACCTGGGTGTCAGAGAATGCCCGTCTGCTGACCAGCCGTTCGGGATGGACCTTGTTGCCGCAGCCCCAGCCGTATGTGGATGAGTGGCTGCAGATAGATCTGGGTGAAGAGAAATTGTTCCGAGGTTTGATCATCCAGGGAGGTAAACACCGTGATAATAAGGTATTCATGAAGAAGTTTCGGCTGGGCTACAGCAACAACGGATCCGACTGGAAAATGGTGATGGATGCTACCGGCAACAAGCCCAAGGTAAGATATAGGGAAGCTGGAAAGTAGTTGGACATAAACTGGATGTTCATTTAGAATAGCTGTGAATCACTATGAAGTTCTTAAGTGCTAGTCTGAGACTGACTCTGAGATTTGTTTAGCCTGATTTTTAGGAAATTAGTTGTTACGTGTTTAACGTGGAGCTATAATGTATTCTCCCCGAAGCCTTTAAATCAGGAGTGTCAAACTCAATTTCTGGAGAGCTGGAGCCCCACATAGTTTTGTTCTAACCCTGCTCTAACACACATACCATGTAGTTTTCAAATAAGCCTGAAGGACTTGATTAGTTGGATTAGGTGCGTTTAATTAGGGTTGAATCTAAACTCTGCAGGGCTCCGGCCCTCCAGGAATTGAGTTTGACACCCCTGCTTTAGATGGACAGAGGAGAGAATGATAATAATTAAGGCCTGTTCACACCAAGAACGATAACTATAAAGATAACTATATTAGCGTCCACACCAGCGGACAATATCATCTGTTTATTCTAAGCCCATGCTCCTCTGCCACTTTCAGTTCTTGAGCTCGTTATAGCAGGATTGATTCTGATTGGTTGTCAATGTTTTTATCATTCAATATCATTCAAAAATAATAATTCTAAAGGTGATTCCAACTATATCATTTATCTGTGCCTTTATCGTTATAGCTGTGATGTGTGGACTTTACTATTTTTTAGTAGTTATTAGTTATCGTCCTTGGTGTGAACAAGCCTTTAGACTAATGCTGTGAGCACAATATTGGGGAAACATCCCAAGTGCATTCAACAATACTACTAATAATTTTAATCCCAAAAAGTCATAATATCAAAATAGAATAACAGTATAGTGTTCATTTGAGATCATACTGATACATGAACAGACAAATTTCAAAAGAAATGCTGCATGAACCACATGAAATGCGTGACTTTTTTGTAGACATAGCCATATCTCCTATCAAAAAGCTGGATTGGAATATCAATCCTAGAAGGCCCCTTTTAATACCCTTATATTTCTTCCTTAGTTTGAAGGATAAAAGGAGACATATTAGCTCAGATGGCCATTAATGCTCTTTCATTACTTCTTGTCTTATTCTGTACTCTACCTCTGGCGAGTGTCTTTCCTTCCTTTTTTTCTGTCTGCCTCCTGTGGTACCTCGTGTCTGGGTTTTAAGGCTTCAGAAGTGTGAAGTCAAAGGCGGATGCTTTTGAAAGCCTGTGCATCCTGCTGTAGTAGACTGCAGTGTTAGCCCGCAGCCTTTCTTTTGCGCTAGCTCAGCCGTACAATGTCAGAAGTAAAGTTGAAGAAAGGCTTTGTTGCATTAGAAATACAGCAGTGCCCAAGTTAAGAAAGGTGTGAGCTGTGTGCCCTCTCACTCGTTCTCTTTCATTAATGCTCTGTTCTTTGCTTTCCCTGTCAGAGTAACTTTGGGGGTACTCTTAATAAACCTTTCACATTTATCTTTTTCCATTTTTATCTTTCCAAGTTCAATTTCTCTGCTTGACTGCTAACTTTGTCTCTGACTCTGTCATTGTTCTTGGCAGATATTTGAGGGGAATTTGAACTATGACACGCCAGCGTTGAGGACGGTGGAGTCTACATTGACACGCTTTGTTAGGGTGTACCCAGACAGAGCCACTCCTGCTGGGATGGGACTTAGATTGGAACTTCTGGGCTGTGAAATGGAAGGTAAGTTGAAAACTCATTCACAGACACACATTCATACCACTACTGAGGAGTACCCAAGAAGGGACTTAACTAACTTTCTAACTTAACTACATTTTTCAGTCGCATTAAAAGTTGCTCTGCTGTTTTCAAAATGTGTAACTTTAGGCTAATGTAGCGAGTTGCTTATTCCAACAATCATTTTCAAAGTAACGGTGATTCTTACACATAATGGACAATCTTGCATCAAGCCAAAGACATATTGTCCAAAGCAAGTCAACAAAAGTCAAACAAAATTATAGACCTTTGATCTAAAAGGAACTTGACAGTCCTCAAGTGTGTGGTCTTATAGTACAGATGCTATTTGATTGAATTTGGACTTATCCACTCAAGAGAACAGGATAGAGTACGGCTTAGCTTTCTTCATAATTACTTGTCCTGCCGATGCAGCATCAAAGCATGTCTTCTACCCAGAAAAGCAGGGGCCTGTGACACTGCTAAATAAAAGGGCCCATCACAGCTGGAGATAATCTTTGGTCTACCTGCCTTGAAGGATTATGGAAAGGTCCTTGATGTCTTCCCCTCTGTCTTACTTTCTGAATTAGTTTAGCTCTGATGGGGTGTGTGTGCGTGTTTTTTTCTGTTGAGGCAGCGTTAAGTGGATTTACATATTGGATTTCTGAGCGGTTGTGAGACTTGCTTGTGTAAGCCACAGCATCCCACTGGGAGCTTTAGTCAGATGATAATGCTTGTTTTCACTTTTAATGCCAGCACATGCACACGCAGTCCAACACTGTGTATATAAATTCACCCAGTTTCTTTCCTTGTCTTATCTAAAACCCTCACAATCAAACAAGTGACCCCATATATACACATACGCATTCCTAACAGCAGGGCGCTAAGTCCTAGCAGGAGCATGCGATCAACATTGCTGTCCAGAGCCAGCACGGTGACCTCGCTGTGACCCCTCTGCTTTAGAGACTGTCTTTAAAATGCCCTCAGTTCACCCGCGCAACTTCCACTACAGCTCCCATTTCCCCCTCTCCCTCCCTGCTCATTTTTTCCCTCCTTCTGTCCCGGGAAAGCCCTACAGGCTTAAGGGCAGCTCATTACAAGCTGAGAGTAAACACAGGGCTTTAGGCAGATGTAGGCAAAGGCCACATCCAAAGGGGCACAGGCAGCCATAATAAGAGGACACAGCAGTTTCAGCGAGCTGTAGCGGCCCAGGGTGGAGCATAACATCCTCAACCCTGCAGCCAGAGTCACGCACAGGCCCGTATCAAAGGGCTACAGACTTGGAATGACTACAGAAAGAGCATAAACATTAAAGGTGACATATAATGAAAATCTGACTTTTCCAGGTTTTAAGTGCTATAATCAGGTCCCCGGTGCATCTACCAACCAATGAAACGTGAAAAAGATTAACCCAGTAACTTTGTTTAAGTAAGCCTTTTTCTGCAAGCGTCTGAGAAAATGAGCGTGTCTGATTTCACTCCCTTGGTGACGTGGCAAAGGGATCTCATTATAATATTACCGGCCCTTAATCTGTAAATTTCCACCCACGGTGCCGTTATT